ACTAAAAAACAAAGCTCGTCGAGACAGTCGGTGGTTAGGCATATGCAGTACATGTCCCAAACACCTCAACTGATGAAGTTTCATTACTTCATCTATTGATCTGCCATTCTTACCTGACACCCGTTTCTAAATAACAGCGTTGCTCACTCGGGTATCCCAGGATAAACGAGAAATGCTTCGAAGATACCTATGATCGAAAACCAGTAACCTACGAATATCTTCTACTCTCACTGGCCATGTTTCACAGCCATAAAGTAGGACGGAGCGAACTACTGCACAGTACACTCGTCCTTTAGTCAGCAAACGGATATCTCGCCTACTCCATAAGTGACGCAGGTTGGCAAAAGTTAATCGAGCCTTCTGTATCCGTGCTGAGATTTCGTCAGTCACCAGGCCATCGGCACTGAAGATAATGGGTGAGGTCATGAGATACTTGATACTGATAAGAGTTAGACATCGATCCCTTCGGATGCAACTAAACGTTGTGAGTTCGTGCGCGAGACTGAAGATCCCATGGTCGTGGATACAGGCTGGTGATGAGTCTCATCGTAGGACGAAAACGATGTTCTGTACTTTCAAGTTTTTAGCAATGGTCTAATAATGACTGACTCATGATTTCAATATAAAGTAATCATCTCCAACTACCATGTTTTTTAAACCGTTTGCGGAAAAATTACGAAGAAAGAATTCATTTGTTATCTGTAAGTCTGTGTGGAACCTTTTTCGGGGTACGGCCGGTCCTATGCCCGAATAAGGAAGAAGGGTTGGACATAGGGTTAGCAGGCCTTAAAACACGTTAAAAAACCACCAACTAGAAAAACTACTTTAAATTAATTCCTTATCTACGCTGTTTAGTTGATTGTTAAATCAGAAACTTAATATGATGGGATTTATATTTTTCCATTAGGGGGTTGTGAAGATTGTTAAGTTACACATTTTTGAAATCATGAATCGATCAATGTTAGACCACCACCATTAGAAACCTAGAAGTACTGGACAGACGTTTTGTCCTGGTATGGGGCTCATCAACAATGCGCATACACGACTCCTGCACCTCGCAGGATTCGAACCCAGTCTTGATTAGTTTCCTATTCCCCTAATCTCAACAATATTCATTAAAGACAATGAATGAGGTCACGGAAGTTAGACATTAACATCGTTGGATGCCGGCTCATCAGTCTAGAGGCTATGCGTTCGCGTACGAGGCCGAATGTCCTAAATTCGATTCCTGTTAGGATATTCAACAAATATCTTAAGAGAATTATTTTTGTAAGTCTAATTCTATTGGTCAATTCCTACTGGTCAATATTATGGTTGTCCTGGTTATCAATGTCACGTACTTCCATGTTGTTTCTCATTGGTAGTCCTGACTACCGATGTCACAGCAGACTTCAATGTTGTTTACTATTGGTCGTTCGAACTGTTCTACTTCAGATCGAGTCTTCTTTTACTCAATGGGGGGTCCGGGACGATCAGATTACAGTAGCGTGTCTTGTCGCCGGATCCCCTATCCTCGCTCTCGTTTTCCGACTAAGGTGAACTCGTAATAGTTCAATCCTATGGAAATGACATGTTTACGTTCACTCCTAACAATTCCCTTACGCTGAGGTAATGAATACGCATTGTCAATGAGTCCCACGTTAGAACGCAGAACCTTTAACCATTTCAATGAACATTTAACTTTCTGACTACTTATTTCTGATCAAACTTTTATCTTAGTAAAGTCAATCTATCAAATAAACTACCAATTGAATCGTGCTTCAAACCGTATAGGTACTGAGGCAGTTACCCATTAAAGACAACGGATATGGTTGCACGAAATCAGGAATTGACTGGCGTTAGACATCACCACTGTTGTCTACCAGTTCACTCATCTAGAATTTAAGCGTTGGTGCGTGAGATCCTAGGTTCGAATCCTGTGAGCGAGGCTCTTGGATGCGCATTGCTGATGAGTTCCATACAATGACATTTAACTGTTCAACATTAGAACAGCAAAACTTAAAATTTATACAACTAAAATGGATTGAACAGTCTGAGAGAAGCTTAGTCTCATGATCAGTAGATCAAGAAGTTAAACTCTGATTACATTTAGAAGTGATCTTGTCTTTCATTGACACAGTAAATTGAAGAGTTCTCCATATCTCTCTAGACAGAATGCAGAGTCTTCTGACCACCCCGAGCAACAATGCAATCATGTTCGGGATGCGGTTTTCCCACTCAAAATGCAAAATGTTGCTTCAAGATTGAGTTGCATCGGCACCTGAACTAGTGATACGGAGTGAAGTAGTCGAACGTGTAGACTGCTTCAATTAACTCGGGAGTCTCATCGGTGCTGATGGCCTGGTGACCGATACAGATACAGAAGGCTCGATTGGCTTTTGCCAACCTGAGTCACCTGTGACCCAAAGGACGAGTGTACTGTGCAGCAGTTCGCTCCGTCCTACTATACGGCTGTGAAACATGGCTGTTATTAGTAGAGGACATTCGTAGGTTACTAGTCTTCGATCATCGGTGTCTCCGAAGCATTGCTCGTGTATGCTGGGACGACCGAGTAAGCAATGCTGTTGTTAGGAAACGAGTTCCAAACTGTTTGTGGTCCGCGAGACGAAAGTCATCAATGGTTAGAGGCCTTGAACGACATGACTCAGAATCGTTTGCAATGGCTCAGGTGCATCCACTCTTTGTGTTCTCTCAAATTCTCGTTTTATGAATTCCTCATCATCACTATCTTTCTCTTTCTAAATTTATCTCACTGAAATATACTTTTCGAATCATATCTTCGATCCCTAATCTTCTCCATTACTGCTAATATACTTCTACTATCACTATCACTCTTGGATTTGAACTGACAGTTGCATCTTTGTGTTGATGTGGTATGGCAACGTGAACTGATGTACTTACGTACGAAGTTCTGCGTTGTATCAATCTGTCTGTCTGTATTATCTCTCTAACAATTTGCGAACATCCCATGTACCTGTATTAATTATAGCTCTTGCTGTCAGAAGGCGTATGTGTTATGCTCATCAAGTGATATGCTTGAATACTATTACGAGTTCACCTTAGTCAATAAACGAGAACCACACAGTGAACCCGTGACATTATTTACAAAGGAACTTAACATTCATCAATGAAACATCCTGACTCTTCAAAAATGAAAATGGCTAGCACCTTTTGTTGCAAGTTTGTTTTCTATGCAATGAGGTTGTTAATCCGACTGCCAAGGCTCCCTTTTTATCTGGGCTTAGGACTAGCAGTAACCTTTGAAGAGAGTTCCAGATTGAGTAACTTAAAAACTGACTTGAAAGTATCATATAGCTAACAGAATGAAGTATCGAATGACACTCAGAGTGACGACTAGAATCTAAACTGCAATTATGATCTAATCTAATTTAATTTAGGATATTTATTAAGTTTCCAAATGTCCAGAGTTACATTTGAATGAATTCCGGGGAAAAAAACACGTTTTAACCCAAGTATCATGTGAAACTTAATTCATCATTCTAGAAATTTCCAAAAGTTTTGAAGATTTTTTAGGGATCGAACTCATAGTCTTTTAATTCTTCACATGACACACGTTCAGTCGAATTATTTGGAAGATTATTGAATGATATTAATTCTTTTATTTTCGGTAATGTTTACCTAACTTTCGGCACGACTGAACTTCGTCAGTTTTAGATTTTCACTTGAAATTCCTGCTACGCACAGGATTCGAATCCAGGTCCTTTTGCCTCTAGACCAAGGATCCGGTATCTAATAGTAATAATATCTAACTATAATCACTCCATGGTCTTGCTCAACTTCGCCCATTTTCTTCGGTAGGTAACTGCCTCACAGCTGACAGGACTGAACTCCGTTCGTCAATTAATCTTAAGCATAGCGAAATCATTCTTTCTCCATGTTTAAATGAGATTATACTAAGAACCTCTAAGTTTTGAAGGTCAGCACTCTACGATAAATCCTGGAATGATTTAAAATACCTTCTTGTTATAAGTTTGATTAGGCTCAAACAGTGTTTGATGTTATACATTGAAGCTGTGACGCTTCGTCTTGGTATGGGACTCACCAATGACAGGGCTCATCCGACTCCCGTTATTCGTAGGATTCTGAAACAGGACTATCGATCTTGCGCGCGAACGCTTAACCTCCAGACAACTGACCCGGCCGGCATTCAGCGGTGTTAATATCTAACCTTGGTCGATCTAAGGATTTTGCGCAATATCACCCATAATAATTGTTTTAACGCTTGTCAGTTTCATTACCTCTTCCTTATGGTTTATGGCTTCATATGAAAAATCCCATAGAATTTTCCTCTTCAAGATGTTTTCTTAAGCAGAAGTGACTTTTGACTATCACCTGTTTGATGACAATTTTGTTTCTACGTTGTGAAGATAGTTAAGTTACACATTTTTGAAATCATGAATCGATCAATGTTAGACCACCATTAGAATAAACCTGAAAACACTGAAATACGGCCGTTTCGTCCTGGTATGGGACGCATTTGAAGTGCGCATCCACAACTCCTGCAACCCGCCGAATTCGAACCCAGGACCTTCGGTCTTGCGCGTGAACGCCTAACCTCTGGACCACTGACTGACCCGGTACTTAACCGAGTTATTGTTTAACTTCGATCAATTCACAGAGTTGAGCAACCTCACACACTATCTTCGGTAGTTACTGTCTACACCCGAACAGGTTGATCTTCACTGGCCACGACTTCTCACTAGAACTCGGAGAAGATTCGTTACGAAGCTAATCACTAGTGAGCACAGGTAATTTGCATTACGAGGTTGTGAAGATTGTTAAGTTACACAATTTGAAACCATGAATCGATCAATGTTGGACCACTATACCAGGAAGAAACGGCCATCCATTGCTTCCAGGTTTCTAATAGTGGGCTTAGATTGATCGATTCATGGTTTCATATGTGTGATTTTGTTCAATTATCGTTTGAAATGTCAGCTACCTCATTTCAATTGTTTTTTTTTGTTGGTAATTTTCAGATTATCCGCCTTATTTTCATTGTTCAATGGAAGTGATATTTATAGTTATTTAATTACAAAATATGGTAAAATTGATATGACCAATTTGTTAAATGACACATTTTTAACTCAAGATAAAATTAAACACATGACTCATTCACTTTCGTCAACATTGAAAAGGTTAGTTGTTGTTTAAATGTTCTGTTGTTTTGTTATGACAATTTGAAATAACCAAATGATGATGATGATGACGACGATTGAGAAAAATGATGTGTCAAGTTAATCATACCTTTCTCTTTTATTCAGTGTTCAATAAGTTGACAATAAATAGCATTTCTGTGACAATTTTTCCTTGTTATTTAGCTAGTGGCTGTTGCATACTGGAGTTTAAATTTTAATGAAGGTTTCACTTGATCAAATCGTTCTGCTATAGCTATATCATTGAATTTTGAAATGTGGTATCAGGAAGGTTGTTGTTTTTACAAACTGAAATCATGAATGAATCGTTGGCAGATCACCATTTGAAACTTTATTGCACTGGATGGCCGTTTCGTCTTTGTATTGGACTCATCCGCAGTGTGCATCCATCTAATATGGAGAAGTGATTAGTGGAGTTCAACCCTGTCGGGTGTTATCTACAGGATGTGGTCATTAACTTCTAGCCCTACCCTTTTACTTTATCCGATTTTGGGACCAGCTATAACCATAGAAGGGCATTGGACGGATTACCAGGCCCTTCAGGATCTACTCAATGGAGTGAAAACTATCACTGAGTTAAACTGGAAAGCGATCACAAAAGCAGTAACTTCGTCATATCATGAGGTTCTGCGCCACAAGAATGGATATCTACGGATACTCTGAATAAGAATGAAGAAAGGAAGATCAAGAAGGTAGCAATCAAAATCAGCCGAACAAGAGCAGATACAGTTAAGGTACAGGCTGAATATGCAGAAGCAAACAAGCAAGTGAAGAGGTGCATCGAAGCTGATAAGTAAAAATATATGGAAGACCTAGAAAGCAAGGTCCTTAGATATAACACAGCGTATACTTCAACGAAATAGTACTTGATCAAAAAGAAGCTGTAGAAACCTTTACATCTCTGGGAAGCATAATTGATAGGCTAGGTGGATCTGATTCTGAAACGCATTAGCAAAACAAGGGCAGCATTTTTACAAGTGAAGAGCATCTGGAACTCAAAACAACTGTAAACAAACACCAATCTCACAATTTTCAACACAGATGTCATGAGAAATTTACTGTATGGCGCTAAAACCTGCAGAACTGAGAAAGTTATCATCTAAAAGATACAGGTGTTTACTTGTCTACACAAGACACTGCAGATTTGTTGGCTAGACACCATCAGCAACAACCTACTGTGGGAGAGAACAAACCAGGTCCTGGATAAGGATACAAAACACTGTGGAAATTATCAAACTGCGTCACAAGACAAACCCTTACTTCGAATCCTCTAAGTCAAAGGAAATAAAGTAGACCAAAGAACGTATTACCCTGAGAATCCAAAGTAGACATGAAGAGAATGAACAGTAGGTGGGTAGAACTGGAATAGAAGACTCAGGACAGAGTAGGTTGGATAATTCTGGTCGACAGCCTATGCTCCATTTGACGGAGCGCAGGGTAAGCAGAAGTAAGTAACTTAGTAAGCTTTCTATCAAAATATTGAATCAATGAAAGAAATTTATAATCCCATAATTTAACAGTGTCTAAAATTTGTCGTAGTAAAACATCACACAATAAACTTTTGAATAGTTTGCTTGATCAATTGTCAATATTGTTCAATTGTTTGACTATTGAAAACTATTGATAACACGAATTTAGTAGCTCTATTAATTTTAAAACAAAAATTTATTTTAAGAATCATAAAAACTATTTGGGAAAAAGTTTATAAAAAGCTTGAAGATTATTGTGAAATTTATTTTCAGCTAATTAATGACGATAAAACACTTTCAGAAAAGTCTACTAATCGATGTCAGTCTTAGTTCTTGAAATGTGATTGGTCAAATAACAGAAAATCATGATTGATGCCAGTTTCTTTTTAACTGAATTCTGAACACTTCAATTAGAGTTATGAAGATCAGTGTTTTTACACGTTGAAATCATCAATCAATTATTGTAAGACCACCATTAGATACCTGGCGTCAATGAATGGCTTTTTCTTCCTGGAATGGGATTCATCAGCAGCGCGTATCCATGAATCCTGCCCCTTACACGATTCGATCACAGGAACTTCAGTCTTACTCGCGAATGCCGAACCTCTGGGCCACTGAGTCGGTCTGAATTTCGGATTTTTTTTGCGTTTTCTCGCATAGGCTGGTCAGTTGACCTTGAAATTACATTTCCCACTTGACTGCCATTGGTCGATGTGTTATTTTAGTACGCTAATTTTGTGGCTCTCCCAAGGACGTTTCTATCGCGTAGAAATAAACTCAATTGATGTTCTTGTCAACCCCGATTTTTTGGGTGCTTGTAGAATACACTATCTACGCCTTATCAAGATTTCTTGATGAAGTTAGCAGGGCCTGGGACAATGGATTAGAATAGCCTATCGTGTCACTGGATCATTTATCCTCGCTCTCATGTACCGAGCGTATACCGAGAATATCAACTGATGATCAAATCAGTTTATGTCTAATCCACAATATTGTGCAGCTTTATCCACTGTCTTCCTTAGATAACTCTTTACACCTGACACGGTTGAACTTCACTGTTCACGGTTACTTACTAAAACCCTGAGATTATCCTGACGAAGTTAGTCACTAGTGAGTACATTTTTATGATTTTTATCATGAAGTTGTGAAAAGATTATTGAGTTTCATTGAAATCATGAATCGATCAATGTCAGACTACTGTTAGAATCCTGTGGGCATGAAATGTTCGTTTCATCCTAGTATAGAACTACTAATCAGCAAGCCAAGTGTACATAATATGACTAAGAGACATAGAAATATTCATAATTCAAGCAAAAAATTGGATTTCAACTGGATCATCTTTGCTTTTCAGATATTTTTCGCACTTTTAAAAACTGCGCCGCTTTTTCTCCATCTACATTAATTCATTTAAACAAAACTAGGGCCTATGTTCATGCTTTATACTCATAGTCAAAGTTGAATCTAACACGTACACATCAATTCAAACTGACTTAACTCAAGTCAGCAAAGTGGAGTATAGTTTAACATTAACCAATGAATTTAAAAGATGGAAATTGTAGTAACCCAATGAAAATGAAAATTTATTCGACTTGATTTTTGTCAAATATTCAATATTCAAATTTATTCTTTCTGACATTTTGTTTGAATGTATCAATTCTAGAAAATTCGATTTATTCTTTCAAAGAAAAGATATCACCATCAGAAATCAACAAATAAATGGCTAACACTTCCATATCGGAGAAGTAAATTACACTAGTTTTCACTTTCTACAGATAAAGTAATCTAATGAACATTTAAAAATGTTACTATTTCGATTCAACTAACAGTAGAGCTACAAAGATTGGGTCGCATGAGCACCTGAACTAGGGATAGGGAGTGAAGTAGTCGAGCGTGTATATCGCTTCACTTATCTCGGCAGTCTCATCAGTGCCGATAGCCTGGTGACTGACGAAATCTCAGTTCGGATACAGAAAGGTCGACTGGCTTTTGTCAACCTGCGTCACTTATGGCGTAGGCGTGATATCCGTTTGCTGACTAAAGGACGAGTGTACTGCGCAGTAGTTCGCTCCGTCTTACTTTGTGGCTGTGAAACATGGCCAGTGAGAGTAGAACATATTCGTAGGTTACTGGTTTTCGATCATAGGTGTCTTCGAAGTATTGCTCGTATATCGTGGGACACCCGAGTGAGCAACGCTGTTATTAGGAATCGGGTGCTAGGTAAGAATGGCAGATCAATAGATGAAGTAGTGACACTTCATCAGTTGGGACATGTGTTACGAATGCCTAACCACCGACTGCCTCGAAGAGCTATTTTTTGTAGTGTAGGAATAGGTTGGACGAAAGTTAGGGGCGGCCAGACTAAAACACGGCAGAAGTCCATGAATTCATTGACAAGTGGGCTGAGTCATGTCGGTAATTGTCGACTACCTGCTTGGGATCCGCGAGATGATAATAATCGATAGTTAGAGACCCTGAATGACATGACTCAAAACCGTTTGCAATGGCGCCGGTGCATTTATTCTTTGTGTTCTCTCGAATCCTTATCTTCTGGATTCTTCAACACCTCTAGTTTTGACATTCTAAACTTTTCTCACTGAATCATACTTCTTGAATAATATCTTCTAATCCTAACCTCTCCGATTACTTCTAATACCTTTACTATCTCTTCTACTATTGGATTTGAATTGACAATTACATCTCTGTGCTGACTTGGTGGTATGGCAACATGAACTGATGTATTTACGTACGTACAAAGTTCTACGTTGCATCTGACTGACTAAGAGCTACAAACTACTTATATTCGTTAGTAGTAGTATATTATAATTGTAAATATATCTATACATATATTGAAACATTTGAAATTAATTGCTTGATTTATGTAGAATTTAATTGTGTAATATTTTTTTAAATTTATTTATTTATTTATAAATTAAAATATTTCAATTAAAACAAAGTCATAAAAATTATTTGAAAAAACATTTTAACAAATAAAAGTTAGTCAAGTTGAAAGTTTTTAATTTCGTTTATATTAAGTAAAACAAATTCAAAGTCGTGAATTTTGTATAAAACTAGAAATATATATATATTTATATATTTAGTTTTGTGTAAAGCTAGTTTTATTCATTCAATAAATAAGTTTAATATGTGGTATAAATTAAAACCAATTTTATGATTATGTAAGTTTGAACAATAAAGAGGGAGACAGACATTGAGTGAGAAAGAGAGAGAGGAGTGAATTTATACTTTCGAGTAAGTTAATTAATAAATATTTATGTCGCCTGACAAGTAGAATTTACTACAGTGATTAGCAGAGGTGAATATTGGCTGGCAAAGGGAATCTATTTTGGACTCCTCTGAAGGTGGAAGTATCTGAAACTCAGAGTTATTGTTCAGTCCGATAGTGGAACCTATTATCGATCATGTCATACATTACAGGAATGAGTTCAGAAAGTCACTCACTTGTGAAATGCGATGAAAATTTGATCACTTTTTGTCGACCGATAGTGAGAACAACGACTGATCAGTCTTAGTTGGTATCTGTGTATTGTGTACACACTGCGTCGATCGGCAGGCATTACGGGCAAACACATGAGTAGATGCTAGCAGTGAAATCCACCACATGTATTCACTTCATTTTTCAGATAGATTTACTTGCATCCCATAGCTGATATCCATTTAGAGACTTATCGACTGTCAATCAGAAAATTCAAACTACCAATATAAATGTATAACTAACTTCACTCTGATTACAAAAGCTAGTAGTTTAGTGGAAAAATGTGATAGTGCTTGAGTCAAACGGTAATGGGTTAGAGTCCTAAAATGAACATTAACTCTCAGAGTCAGGTACATTCAACTATAGACGAGTCTCACATCGGACGAAACGCATATCTTGCATTCCATTCTGTCCACTATATGTTTAGTTTTTGTTATCACCTGTTTATTTCTGCTTCATATTCGTGATGCTGTGGATATTTCTCAGTCAGTCAGTCGGTCAGTCGGTTAGCTATAATGTAGAACTTTGTGCATATTTCTTTTCAAAATTGATCCAATCTAATAACTATTCATTAACGTTAACGCAGCTGATTTCACATTACAGTTAAACAATCAATTCCAACATTTTTCCTTCGGTTGTCATAAGTAAGAAGTTCTAATCTAATGCGCTTTACTTACGAGTGTCACTCCCAATGAAGCATTAGCGGTCCACCAGTTTTCTCCAACTAACTCTGTCCTCGGCTGCCCTATCCAGTGCTGTCCAACTTTTGTTCATTCTTCTCATGTCTTTCTCTATATCCCGGAGTAATGTGTTCCTTGGCCTTCCTCGTTTCTTTTTGCCTTGAGGGTTCCAAAAGAGGGCTTCTCTTGTGACGCAGTTCGATGCTTTTCTCAGTGTGTGCCCTATCCACTTCCACCGCTTCTTCCTGATTTGCTCGTCCACTGGAATCTGGTTTGTTTTCTCCCACAGTAAGTTGTTGCTGATGGTGTCTGGCCAACGAATCCGAAGTACTTTGCGTAGACAATGTTCATAAATACTTGTATCTTCTCAACGATGGCTTTCGTAGTTCTCCAAGTTTCCGCTCCCACAGTAGAACTGTCTTGACATTTATATTGGAAATCCTGATTTTGGTGTTGATTGATATTTGTTTGGAGTTCCAGATATTTTTCAGTTGTAGAAATTCAGCCCTTGCTTTACCGATCCGCACCCTAACATATGCATCGCATCCACCTTGATTGTCGATGATGCTGCCAAGATATGTAAATGTGTTAAAGTCCTCCAATGCGTGTCCATCAAGGGTGATTCGGTTGGTGCATGTAGTGTTGTATCACAGAATCTTGCTTTTCCCTACATGTTTGTCGAAACCTGCTGCTGCTGAGGCTGCCACTACACTGATCGTCTTCTCTTGCCTTTGTTGCTGTGTGTGCGATAGGGGAGCCAGATCATCTGCGAAATCCAGATCGTCTAGCTGCATCCTAGCTGTCCTCTGGATACCGTGCTTCCCTTCAGATGTGGACGTCTTCATGATCCAATCGAGCACTCCCAAAAACCAATTGGCATTTACAATGTTAGATTATAGAATTTTTCGATTAGCAAAAAAAAATAAAAAAAACTAATCTTCAAAACATTTAATTTATGTTAAATATAAAATTGAATGTTTGTTTAACCGCATTAAATATTCATCGCGTCAAGGTCAATTGAACAATTTTCTTAATAACGAGCGAAACATGAACCTTATTTTTTTTTGAGTTACTTCATCATATTTAAGGATAGAATGGAGTAAACATTAGAAAAAACAACTTACTTTTTGAGAAAGAAAAACAAATTACCATTTTATATTTAAAACAGACTTAATTTGCCCGCAAGTTTTTTTCCCCTTTGCTTAAACAAACTAAATGATCATGATCTAATTTTCGAGGGGTTTTCGTTTTCGTTTTCGTTTTTTTTCTCATGAGGTCATAACACCTTGATTCATTAGTGATTATGTGAAGGTTGTATAGATAGATTACAAGGAGAGATAAGAGAGTATGATTTTGAGAAATATATATTTTAATTCTCTAGAGATTTTATGAATCAAATTTTTCATCTATGTGAAATTTTATGTTCGCGTTTAGTTAAAAAAACAAATTCATGATTGTAAGGTGGGTGATGATGAAGTGATATTGTAGTAGTCATGTGTCAGGTGAAAATTCCATCATGTACTTGAGTCTGAAGCTAAAGTTATGTGGATTATGAAAAAGGAATTCAGGATTCAAGCGTTTCGTTCTATATGGGATTCGTTTTCAGCTGGAAGTATTTGCATCCATTGGTTGATGTTTACTCCAGGATTCGGGCCCGGTGTCGTACGCTAATAGCGTACGTTCTGGAATTTATCAGTAGTCTCTATCAGTTTATACTAATACTGTCTGTGACTGTGGTGGTGTTTCATTCTCTGAGCTGGTTGTTTTGGTTGTGGAGCTTTCATTGTTCTTCTTCTGAATAACATCATCATCAGCAGAAACTTCAGATAGTAGAAGTGAAGCATTCGAATTTCTCCACATAGCTTCTTCTGTTAACCTTGATCTTGATTGGTTGCTGTTGTTGACCTTAAACCTGTCGTTGTTTGCACCTTTGCTTTGATTGTATCCTCTCATTTGATCTGTTTCTTGGTCCTATCTGTCACCTATGATTTTTCTGATTGGTTGATAAATTGGGTCAATGTCAATGTGTTTGTTGATTACACATGTGCCCAATGGTAAGATTCACATGACCAATTTACATGAGTTCAAGTTAATTTGGTTCAAGTCTGAGTAGGAACATTCGGACCGGCAGGTTGATGTACCTACCTAGCTGATACACTTTGAACTGGAGATAACACACGTCATGTATCATATTGCTAACCGAAATAGATTTATTCTAAAGAATATTTATAAGTCAATGGAGAAAAAGGTGTTTTTCACATTTGTTTATCAAAAATGAATCTCGAGTAAACTTATGATCTCTAGGTCATTTGGGATTCAAAATCAATAATTTTAAGTTGATTTGTTCAAAGAAATGTCACTATAAAATGGAATTATTTGGGAGATAAAATATAAAAGAAACAGTTTACTAATTAGCTGGCTCATTAATTTATATTTTTTTAAATTAAAAATTACATCAAATGACCTGTAAATGATTATTGTAGTGAAAATTATGAATATATTCAGGTATTTGTTTTAAAGTTTTGATGAGAACGCCATATTGAAGAATGTGGAACAATTAATCGCTATGCATAATGGTTACATAGTTTTAAGATTTAAATGAGGTTAAAAATGCAAACCATTTGAGACCAACTCATTGATCTAAGTCATACGTTCCACCTCCGGTTAGGGTTATGAATGTAAACTTACGAGGAATCGCATAATTAAACGAAATAAATGTTCAATTCTCCTTGATTTTTTATTAGTCGTTTAAATGAAGTCGGTCAATGGCGTAAACTTTGAAATAATTCACTTCGTTTAATGTTTGTAATTCTCTCAACAGATCACCAACCACGACGATTGTACAGTCTCACAAATACATATAAACAATGTTTAACTTGTCAATGAAATCGTGATCACTGGAGTCTAACCTTCTCGGGTGTAGGCAGTTACCTGCCGAAGACAGTGGATAAGGTGGTGCGACTCCTTGGATTGATTAACATCGTTGTAGTCCGACTAATTGGTCTAAGAGTTAAACGTTCATGCGCGAGACTAAAGTTCCGGGGTTTGATTACCACCTGTGTGGTCATGGATGTACACTACTGATTCATCTCATGCTGTTGGAAACGTTAGATCCCCAGAGCTCGCATGATAAATGCCTTATTTTGGATTTCACGTTTGCAAGCATCGGCTGATCAGTTGACCTTGATATTTCATTTCCCACCAGGAAAATCCTTGGCTGTGATTGGCTACTGTGTTATTTTAGTGTGCTGTTTTTGTAACTGTCCCAAGGACGTTTCTATGATGTATAAATAAACTGGATTTGTATGCTTGAGATCATTGTGATTGCTAGGTGTTTGTAGAATATACTTTCTACGCTACATCAAGACTTCCGTTTTGCTGTTTTCGGATCAAGGTAGCCTACCTGTGTGGTGCGAGCTACTTATGAGTAGTATATGACGTGAGTGTCAACGTAATGTCTGGCAGAAGAGAAGATGGGGGAAGATCAACAAGAAAGGAAGAGTCAGAACACAATGGAATTTGTATGAAAAGAACGCATGAATAGTGACAATGGATTGATGTTTTGCAACAGGAACAGTCTAGTTCAATATGATGAACTGATATTTTGCAAATCAACAATTTAAGATATGGTTTTCCAATTTTACTGAGTAACTCTTTAATTTCGCTAAATACAAATCAGTTGCCCCACCTGTGTTCTCGTTCACTACACCTGGATGCTGGTTCATTGTCTCGTTCACGTTTATCGACTAAGGTGAACCTGTAATAGCTTCAAGGTTACCTAGTGACGAAACTAACACATGCCAAAGACAAAACGGCCGTCCAGTGCTTCGAGGTTTCTAATGGTGGTCTAACATTGATTGATTCATAATTTCAGTATTGCTAAAACACCTTCACAACTAACTCTATAATGCAACTACAATTTTTTTCATACAGATCAACTTTATACTACTTTTTCTGTTAAGTTCATTTTGTTTTAAATTGTAATCTTGATTTCAGTTGTCAATATGGCGACGATCAATGTTCAATTGACGATTTCAATTCAATATTTACAACACATGGATGGTGTTATCAATTCGAATTGAATATTTCAAAATGTAAGAACTTTATTATTGTTATTAAAACAAATTATTTTTATTCAATAAGTGATAACAATAATTTTGAAAATGTCATGGAATTTTTTCTCATTTTTAAAACCTGAATTTTGAAAGAATGAAATAACATAGCAGAATAACTATATAAGTTACATTTATTTCATGAATTCTCTGTTTGGCTACTTATTGATATAGTAAGCTAATCAGTAGTAGCTAAATGTGAAGGCCATTTGATGATCATCAGAAAATGTCCTTAAAGGACGAATACATATCCATTGATCAAGAGAGGATTTCCTTTTCTAAGAAGATGGACTATATATATTTGAAGGCGATCATTTATACACTGTTGCCTTCTTGCTCACAGTTAATTCAAAAGGTTACTACGTAGCGCGATCAAATCTCTGAACCCGCACATCATAATAGTTTTACTTACTTACTTACTTATGCACTTACTTATGCACTTACTTACTTACTTACTTACTTACTTACATACTTACTTATGCACTTACTCACTTACTTACTTACTTACTTATGCACTTACTTACTTACGTACTTACTTATGCCCTCACTTGCTTACTTACTTACTTACTTACTTACTTACTTATGCCTGTTACCCCCGATGGAGCATAGGCCGCTGACCAGCATTCTCCAACTTACTCTGTCCTAGGCTGCCTTTCCTTTTCCGATTCTGTTTAAATTTTGTTCATTCTTCTCATATCTTTCCCTAATTCTCGGCGTAATGTGTTTCTTGACCTTACAAGTGAGAATTTGTCTTGTGACGCAGTTGAATACATCATAATTAACGGTTACACCTTAAAACCATAGTATTATTAAGTAAAATGAAATCAGCGAACATTCTTTATATCGAAGTTATCAAGAATAATCTGAGTTAATATATGGAGATTAATTTTAATAGATTAGAATAACTGTTTAAATAGTCTAGAAGAACACATAGAAAAAAGAAACTACTTTTATCTGGACATAGAGAATTTCTACGTAAAGCTAAAAAGTAAGAATTAAAATTCTGTAAGTTTATAGAGATAGAGATTGAAAACTCTTTCCCTTTTTTGGATACGTGAATTCAAGGTGAATCTTCTGATTGCAACAACAGTTTCAAAAATATACATCACAGTTCTTGAATTTTCTTACGTCTACGGATTATTTTGAAAGAATTCAAAACACTTCATTAGGTGATAAGCGATTGCACTATTGAAAACTTGTTAAATCTACAGTGTCAACCTTTCTGGAGATGAGGAAAATCACGTTCCTTTGTTTTACCCTTCCGATATATGTATTTTGTCACGTACACGTAAACTCGTATACAAAGTTGTAGGTAACAATGTTTAAATTATGAACTGAACTCGGCAAGATTATCCCTGAAAACTTAAAAACAATCGACATCCGTTACTTCTGATCATGGGACTATTCAAAAGCGAAGGGTTGCCATACTGGATCGTAACGGTCATTCAGTACTTTTAACTTTTCAATAGTGATCAAAATAAAGCTAGGTCTTAATTTAAACTGTGTGAAATTCAGTAATCTCCAAAAATTCCTTTTTACCGTGGTTATATTTGTTTAAAGTAAGTCAATATCGGACTGAGAACGTCATCATTCATACAGTCTGAAGCAATCTAGAGCAATATCATTTAATCGTTTGTCCGTGTGAAATATCATGTAAGAATTGCGGATTGCTTTTTCAGACTCAATTGATAAATTATAACACTCGAATCATACTATTCCAAAGTTTTATTTATTAAAACTTGGTTGTTTAAATCAAATAGAATGACCTTGACAAAAATTCAAACTAACAAGTTGCGGTATTATTTTATTACCGAATTAAAATACAAATTAAACGGTCTTACATCTAAATGCTGACTTAAGACCTAATAATTTTGAGCTGGAATTTTTCGTGTGAGGTGAGCATCGACCCACTGACCAGTATTCTTCAAGGTATTTTGTCCTGGAACTTTCATTCCAGTTCTACTTAACTGCTATTCATTCTTTTCATGTTTGCACACAATTTTCAGCATAATGTGTTCTGTGATCTCTCTCTTTTCTTCTGCCTTGAGGATTCAAAGTTAAGGCTCGCTTTGTGATGCAGTTGGGTGCTTTCCTCAATGTGTGTCCTATCGACTTCCATCGCTACTTCCTAATCTCTTGTTCACATAGAAGCTGGTTTGTTGTTGCTGATGATATCCGATCAGTGCATTAAGAGTTCGTTGTTTAGACAACAGTTAACAAACACCTGTATCTTGTGGTTTTATGGTTCTCCAAGTTTCCGACCCATACAATGCAACTGTTTTAACGGTTGCATTAGAAATTGTGACTTTGATGTTGGTGAATAGTTGTTTCAAGTTCCAGATGTTCTACACTTGTAGAAGTACAGCCCTTGCTACGCCGATCCGCACCTTCAGATCTGCATCAGATCCACCCTGCTCATTGATGATGTTGTCCGGATTTCCAAAGCTTATCTGTCCAGTGTGATTTGGTTGATCCGTGTTGTGTTTTAACGAATGATCTTGCATTTCGCTTAGTGTATTTTCAGTTAGAGTTTTGGAGATTTGTGTTTTTACACATTTGAAATCATCAACCAATCATTGTTAGACCACACCATTAGAAACCTGGAAGCACTGAAAGACGGTCGTTTCGTCCTGGTATGGGACTCACCATCAGCAATGCGCATCCACAACTCCTGCACCTCGCAGGATTCGAACTCGGGACCTTCGGTCTTGCGCGCGAACGCCTAACCATCGGACCACTGGGCCGGCATCCAACGGTGTTAATGTCTAACTTTGATTGATCTACGGATTTTGCGCGACCTCACCCATTTGTCTTTGGTAGTAGTTACTGCCTACATCCAACAGGGTTGAACTCCATTGGTCACGTCTTCTCAATAGAACTCTGAGAATTTTCTCACAGAGCTAGTGTCAGGCAGAGTTTCGGAGATTTGTGTGTTTACACATTTGAAATTATCAATCAATCATTGTTAGACTACCCCCATTAGAAGAAACCTGGAAGCACTCACTGTATATTGAGACCTACTGTAGTGAAGGAGAACACAAGTGAGGGCAACTGAATTGTATTTAACGAAAATTACAGAGTTACTCAGTAAAATTGGAAAACCATATCGTAAATCGTTCATTTGCAAAATATCAGTTCATCATATCGAACTGGACTGTTCCTGTTGCAAAACATCAATCCATTGTCACTATTCATGCATTTCATACAAATTCCATTGTGTTCCCACTCTTCCTTTCTTGATCTTCCCCCATCTTCTGCTGCCAGACATTGCGTTGACAGTCACGTCATATACTACTTATAAGTAGCTCACACCACAGGAGTACTCATCAGTGGCATTGCGCATCCATGAGCTCCGCTCGTGGGAATCGAACCTATACTAAGATGAAACAGCCTTCCTGTGTCTGAAGGTTTCTGATGGTGGTCAATACAACTCGATAATCTCCACAAATCTCTGATCATTGTTTAACTGTATGTATATATATTCTAGTCGAGTATTACTTATTTAATTCAAGTAGTAGTAACTAATTTTACATAGGAACAATGGTATAGTGAGTGAGTCAGAAGTAATCTCAAATGAGAAGACCATTTGATGACGATTAGAAATATCCTAGACGACAAAGACATATCATTGGTCAAGAAATGCACTCATTTTCTAAGGAGTTGGAATACATGTCAATATTATGTGTACATATTGTTCAATAGTAAAATAGACTTTCCCTTCTGCTCTCACCTTTAAATCAAACAATCAGTTTTGAGGGGGTTAGCAAATATCAAAACAACTGGTTGCAATCAACACTTTATTTTGAGACTTTATAACTAGCATTGGCTTTAATGAAACGTCTGTTAGAAGCTAGTAAGCACTATAAAACTCTTACATTCGCATTTGGGAAGTTTTTCGGTAGCTCACATCCACCATCGACACCACTGAACTTGGGAAAAAAAACTTTGAAAATTGGACCTGTTGAGCATGCATCTAATCTCCGATATTAAGCGACTGACTTGCTGTAGACTTGATAAAAATTCCTTTTGGTTAAGACTTACTTACTTACTTACGCCTGTTACCCCCAATGGAGCATAGGCCGCCCACTAGTTTTCTCCATCCAACTCTGTCCTGGGCTTCTCTCTCCAGTTCTGTCCAATGTTTGTTCATTCCTCTCATTTTTCTCTCTATTTCTCGGCGTAATGTATTCTTTGGCCTTCCTCTTTTCCTTTCGCTTTCAGGGTTCCATGTGAGGGCTTGTCTCGTGACGCAGTTGGGTGCTTTTTGTAGTGTGTGTCCTATCCACTAACTCGAGCGCTTCTTCCTGATTTCCTCCTCCACTGGAACCTGGTTTGTTCTCTGCCACAGTAAGTTGTTGCTGATGGTGTCTGGCAAACGAATACGAAGTATTTTGCGAAGACAACTGTTCATAAACACTTGTATCTTCTGGATGATGGCTTTCGTAGTTCTCCATGTTTCCGCTCCATACAGTAGAACTGCCTTGACATTTGTATTGAAAATCCTTATTTTGGTTTTGGTTGACAGTTGTTTGGAGTTCCAGATATTTTTCAGTTGTAAAAATGCAGTCCTTGCTTTGCCAATCCGCACCCTCACATCTGCATCACATCCACCTTGATTGTCGATGATGGTGCCATGATATGTAAAGTTGTTAACGTCCTCCAAGGCATCTCCATCAAGAATGATTTGGTTGGTGAATGTTGTGTTGCATCGGAGAATTTCGCTCTTTCCTTTATGTATGTTGAGACCTGCTGCTGCTACACTGGTCGTCTTCTCTTGCATTTGTTGTTGAGTGTGCGATAGAAGAGCCAGGTCATCTGCGAAGTCCAGATCGTCCAGCTGCGTCCTAACTGTCCAGTTGATACCGTGCTTCTCTCCAGATGCTGACGTTTTCTTAATCCAGTCGATCACCAGGAGAAAGAGAAAGGATGAGAGTAAGCAACCTTGCCTGACACCGGTCTTCACCTCGAAAGAGTCGGTTAGCTGTCCTCCGTTCAAGATTTTGCAGTTGAATCCATCATAAGAGTTCCGTATGATGTTAAATATTTTCTCAGGCACACTGTAGTGTCGAAGAAGCCTCCACAGTGTTTTCCTGTCCACGCTATCGAATGCTTTCTCGTAGTCGATGAAGTTGATGTAGAGTGATGAGTTCCATTCAATTGATTGTTCCACAATGATCCGTAATGTAACAATTTGGTCAGTACATGATCGATCCTTACGAAATCCGGCCTGTTGATCTCGAAGTTCGGCGTCTACGAAGTCCTTCATTCTGTTTAACAACACCCTGTTGAAGACTTTGCCTGGTATTGAAAGAAGAGTGATGCCTCTGTAGTTTTCACACTTGCTGAGATCGCCTTTCTTTGGTATTTTGATGAGGTATCCTTCTTTCCAATCTGATGGTACTTGTTCCTCATCCCAAATCTTCCTGAAGAGGATGTGAAATATTTTCACAGTTGCTTCTACATCTGCTTTCATTGCCTCTGCTGGAATGTTGTCTGGTCCTGCTGCTTTGCCGCTCTTGATTTGTCTGATGGCTATACTGATCTCCTCAATCGTAGGTGCGCCAATATTATTTGGGAGATCCGTGGATGCTGCTTCGATGTTGGGTGGGTTCAGTGGAGCTGTTCGATTCAATAGTTCCCTAAAGTGCTCTACCCACCTATTTCGCTGTTGTTCAGTGTTGCTGATTACTTTGCCTTCCTTGCTTTTCACTGGTCGTTCTGGTTTACGATAGTTCCCGGCGAGCTTCTTTGTTGTTTCGTACAATTGTCTCAAGTTTCCTTCTCTTGCAGCCTTTTCCGCCGTCATTGCTAGATCTTCCACATATTTTCGTTTGTTAGCTTTGATGCTCTTCTTCACTTCCCTGTTTGCTTCCGTGTATTCTGCTTGTGCCTTAACTTTCTCTGCTCTTGTTCGGCTGACATTAATTGCTGCCTTCTTGCTCCTCCTTTCTTCAATTTTCGTAAGAGTATCAACAGAGATCCATTCCTTGTGACCCAGAACTTCGTGACATGTTGAAGTGATTGCCTGCTTAATCCCTTTCCAACTGTTCTCCAACGTTGCGTCCTCTCCATTGTGTAGATCCTGAAAGGCCTGGAACCTATTGATGAGGGCTACCTTGAATTCGTTGAGTTTTACAGTATCCCGAAGAAAGGCCGTATTAAACTTGTGTGATGTAGTCTGCCCCGTTTTCCAGTGCATATTTAGTTTCAGTTTCATTTTGGCGATTAGCAAATGGTGATCTGAGGCTATATCAGCTCCTCTCCCGGTTCTCACATCCTCCATAGTCCTTCTGAACGTTTTGTTGATACAGACATGATCAATCTGGTTTTGAGTAGTGTGATCCGGTGAAATCCATGTAGCTTTGTGTATGCGTTTGTGCGGGAATATTGTGCCACCGATGACCAGTTTGTTGAAGGCACATAGGTTTGCAAATCTCTCACCGTTTTCGTTTCTTTCTCCCAGTCCATGTCGTCCCATGATGTCTTCATATCCAGTGTTGTCCATTCCAACCTTGGCATTCAGATCTCCCATAAGGATGGTCAAATCCTTTGGTGAACATTTCCCGACGATTGACTGCAGCCTTTCGTAGAATTGATCTTTAACGTCGTCATTGTAGTCGTTGGTAGGTGCATAAGATTGGATGACGTTTATTGTAATGTCCGCTTTCTTTGTTTTGAAGGATGCTTTGATGATCCTGGGTCCATGAGATTCCCATCCTATTAGTGCCTTTTGTGCATGTTTGGACAGCATCAGTGCAACTCCTTGTGTATGTGAAGCATTTTCCTCTTCATGACCAGAGTATAACAGCAGTTCCCCTGAAGCTAGTCTCAGTTGTCCTACTTGTGTCCAATGCGTTTCACTGATTCCAAGCACCTCGAGGTTGTATCTTTTCAGTTCTGCCGCAACTTTAAATAGTCTTCCAGTCTCCCACAATGCACGAACGTTCCATTTACCTAAAAAAATGGTTGCTCTGGTTGTCAGAAGAGGCATCAGCCCCGTGACTTCCGAGGGAACTCGGCTTTCATCACGAGACGTCATAATTCTTCTTCCAACTCCCAGGGCAGAGTTAAAATGGTTTGAATTATTTTTTCTGGTTAGCGTTTTTTTGGCAAGTTAGTTTTTGACGGAATGGGGTCGCCAACCCCATGTCCAACCCTCCTCCTTTACCCGGGCTTGGGACCGGCAGTAGCTTCGACGGTTCTACTGGCGGAGTTTTTGGTTAAGACATCACAATTGAATTTCAGGAATTTGTGTTTTACTTTTTACTACTTATGAAATTATCAGTAGAAGATGCCAAAAAGAAACTCAGAATCTTAGCTAAATGATGTGCATTAGGCTAAATCGTATATTTTCAGTTAGAGTTTTGAAGGTTTGTGTTTTTACACATTCGAAATCATCAATGAATCATTGTTGTTAGACCACCCTCATTACAAACCTGGAAGCACTCGCTGTATGTTGAGACCTACTGCTTCAGAAGCTCTGACTACACTGGTCATTGAATCAACTAGTCTTCATGTCACCTTATTTTCTTAAATAATTTTTTTTTCAAAATTTCATTATTAGCTACTGAATTGAAATTAATCTTGGATCCTGAAGAATATGACTATCTGATACCAAATAATGGATATGTTGGATTTTATTTAAATGTACAGCATAAAAATTGTACAATCGAACATGATTTAAACAAAAATGGCGGTAATAATCATAACAATTATGCTCAGTCGATTATTGTTGGACCGAAATTCCATTCGTACATTAGTATACAAGTAAGTTCGTGTGCTGCCATTTTGATTTTTATGTCATCTAAAAATGAAAAAAAAACATTTTTTTTATCAAGTCAAGTTCAATGATCAATAAGATAAAATAATAATATTAGTGAGTAATTTTGAACAGAGAAATGAGAAGACATATTTTGTGAGATAGTACTGTGGTGTGAGCTACTTATAAGTAGTATGTGACGTGAGCATCAACGTAATGTCTGGCAGCAGAAGATGGGGGAAGATCAAGAAAGGAAGAAGAGTTAGAACACAATGGAATTTGTATGAAACGCATGAGCATAGTGACAATGGATTGATGTTTTGCAACAGGAACAGTCCAGTTCGATATGATGAACTGATATTTTGCAAATTAACTAACGATTTACGATATGGTTTTCCGATTTTACTGAGTAACTCTGTAATTTTCGTTAAATACAATTCGGTTGCCCCACCTGTGTTCTCCTTCACTACAGTACCATTTCGTGCTTTCTCGTCAGTCACGCACAAGCAACATGTTATTCGTGTGTAAATACAGTTTTGAAGATAAGGTCAAAATTTCTTATTTTTAGCATGACATTCACTCACTAGAACCATGGTAAACAAAAGTCAACACACAGTTGTTTTTGAACACATAAAGTTGGAATTTTTTCCGACCAATCAAGATGGCTTCGAGTAGTTTTAGTGTGTGTGGGTTTTGATGACATGCGTGTCACAACTCTAAAGGCTGATTTTGGGTCAATTTGATGACCACTCATCATCAGATGTTTTGCAATGGACGAGGCTGGGTTTCTTGATGAATCATGGATTTGATTAACCATTTTGGAATATGTTCCCCTATCCTGTCTTCCAATCGGCGATCTGTCCTCCCTGAGTAACTTTCTCCGCAGTTACATATGAATTGGTGAATACAGTGGGATTTGGACTGAATCGGTCTTAGAGACTTGATTGGGGTAACTGAGATCGATTGAGTTGTTGTGATAAGCCTCAGATTAGCTGCATTGAAGGTCTTTTTTTATTGCAGCTGCAGTCTGTTTGGTTGTAATTTTCATGCAATGATCACCCTTGAAAGATAACTACTGTAGATACACTGGTTTCTTGGGTACATCAGTTGCTATCAGCTTCGTCGTAGTTGTGTTCTGATGACCAATAAACATTTCGGGACATCCGTTTGATTTAAGTGTCTCAGTAATAAGTTTGAATTCGTCGTTCAGTGTATCAGCAGTGCAGATTCTACTTGCTCGAGCGAATAAAGAGTTTTGACAACAGAAAGTTTATATTGTATGAGGCAGAAACTAGTGAAGTGAAGGTACTGTCCCGACCACGTAGGTTTGCGAGAAAGCACGAAATGGTACTATCGCACAAAATATGTCTTGATATAGCTTAGAAAGTTCATTCTACAACCACCCAGAAAATCGATATTGACAAGCACACAAATAGAGTTTATTTATATGTTGTGATAGAAACGCCCTTGGTGAGAGCCACAAAAATAGCATACTAAAATAATACATCAACCAATAACAGTGAAGGATTTTTCGAGTAGGAAATGCATTCTCAAGGTCAGCTAATCAGCCCATACACTAAACCGTAAAATCCAAAATTAAGACCTTCATTAAGTGAGCTCTGGGGATCGATATATCGTACTCAACATTTATAGCGGCAATTTGGATATTCTTATTAATATTTAGGAATGTTATTGACTATTTGTTCCGCATACATGCGTCATCCGCGCATTCCTTCGAAATAGCATTTATATTATAAGCATTATTAATACAAAGAGGTGGATAGTGGTTAGCTTTGGAATCCACAACCGCACATTTCTTTCTATTTGGGATCTATCTTCAGCTGAATATATTTCCAACCCACACTTCCTATTCACTCAATGACTCTACATTCATACAGGATGCAAATTTCTCAAATGAGACTGATCAGTTGTCATTCTAAACGTCAATGAGTAGATTTAAGCAACCCATAAAAATGTAAATAGCTCAACCGTTGATTTTGGACTCCATACAGTGAAATACGGCGTGATAGAGTTAGGCTTACTATTCCAATGGACGACAGTAAGAGTATACAAATGTCACGTGGTCATTCATGTTATCTACTAAAGTCAAAGGTCGATCGATCCATTACTATCCAAAGAACAGAGATAATGTGAAAATTTTTCTGAGACAAATCTGTGAATTCGGGTAAATCAGTAAAGATTTTGCTTTTTGACAACATCGTTTGACGGAAGTTGTACAGTGTTATTAAGACAGACAGACAGACAGATACAACGCAGAACTTCGTACATAAGTACATCAGTTCAGGTTGCCATACCACATCAGCACAGAGACGCAACTATCAGTTCAAATCCAAGAGTGACAGAAATAGTAGAAGTATTAGCAACAATGGAGAAGATTAGGGAGCTAAGATATGATTCGAGAAGTATGATTCAGTGAGATAAATTTAGAAAGAGAAAGATAGAGATGATGAGGAATGCAGAAGCTTAGAATTTCATGGAACACAAAGAGTGGATGCACCTGCTCCATTGCAAGCGATTCTGAGCCATGTCGTTCAACGTCTCTTACCATCGGAGACTTTCATCTCACGGGCCCCAACCAGGTAGCCTACACCTACCAACATGACTCAGTCCATTTGTCAGTGACTTCATGGATTTGTGCCATGTTTAATGAATAAATAAAATAGTCAATCAAGAAATTATTGAGTATACTGGATTCGTTGAAAAATCATCTATCAATCAATAATAGATCACCATTTGAAACCTGAAATCACTGAGAGACGGCCATTTCGTCCTGGCGTGTGACTCATCGCTGGTGTGTATCAGCGACACCTTCAGTCTTGCTCACGAACACCTAACCTCTGTACCACTGGGCCGACATCCAACAGTAATAATATCTGACTCTGATCAATAATTATGGAATGCAGGTAACATCCCCGCTCAAAAGTAGTTTGAAAGCGCGTCGTGGATTGTACTGCAAGCCTATATTGATGTTTTTGCTCATGATGCTGAGACACCGTGAACTGAATGGAAAAAATAATAAGAAAACTGATTTCCCCTTTGAATTTAGCATTGATGTTATGCGAATCGAGAGCATAAGTTTCACAATCAAACTATTCAGATCAATGAACACAACATTATCAAGAGGTTTAGAAGGGAGTTTGATTAATCTCAGTTTTGCTCATAGTCATAGTCAGTCAGCAGCAATGTAGAACTTTGTACGAACGTACGTACGTACATCAGTTCTAGTTGTCAAACCGTGATAGTATAAAGATGCAATTTTCAGTTCAAATACCATAATATTAGAGATAGTGGAAAAAAGTATGAACAGTATTCGGAAACATTATGGTTTGAAGATATTAAATTTGACTAGAAAAAGATGAAGGTCATGAGGGATTCAGACTAGAATTTTGAAGAACACAAAGAGTGCATGCACCTGCGCCCCTGCCAACGATTTTCAGCCATATCACTTTGACGAGACTTCCAAGATATGTAAAGCAATCTACACGCTCAACTGTGTGACATCTTATCACTGGTTTAGGTTCCAGACATTGTGTTTCATCATGAATCAACAGCTGAATGAATAAAGCATTTTGTTTTTGTTAAGATATTCAACATATATCCTAACAGAATTATTTTTTATAAGTCTAATTCTACTACTCAATAGTATGGTCGTCCTAGGTATCAATGTCACGTGCTCCAAATGTTGTTTCTTACTGGTCATCCTGAATGTCAATGTCACAGACTTCGATGCTGTTTCCTATTCAACCTAACTGTATAAATACACAATATCTGTAACGTTTTATGACCCGGACCCGGATTCGGATCCCTAGTCCGGTATCCTGATTTTCTCCTGCACTCGGACTTCGTACTTTCTAGATGCTTGTAGAATACACGTTCTACTTCATATAAAGTGGGGTTAAGACACTCGGATTAGATTAACCTGTCATGTCGTCGGATCCTCAATCCTCGCTCTCGTTTTCCGACTAAAGTAAACTCGTAATAGTTCAAGCATATCAAATTGACATGTTTACATGCATGCATAACACAGTAACGCCACTGTGAACAGTCACAGTAAATTACACAAATATCTATCAAACTAATGAATCGCAGGAAGAATAAAAACATCTTTTCTAAATCTTAGTTAAAAATGTAATCACATTGTGTACATAAAAAATAAATAGTCATTTAATTTGGTCAGATCATCGATCAGATTACTTTTTTGTCTTGTGTTTTTTTCTCTCATATCAATTATAGCAACAATATTTTATCAGAAGAGGAAATTATTTCGATACAGACATTAATAAAGGTTAGTTTTTTCATACATCAGTTGTTTATTGTACCAGTGTAAGCCTTTTAATGTCAGTCAATATAGGATTGTGTAGATAATTGCTGTGTTTCATTAGAATCATGAACTGATCAATCAATCGACGAAAACTGAAAACACCAGATAGGTGTTTCATCCTTCCTTATATGAGAATCATCATCAGCAGTCTCGGGGTGTGTGTATCCACCAATCCACGATCGGGAATCCAACCTAGGCCTTTCTAACTCACATGTAAATCTTCCAGGTTTCCCCTTGATCAGTTCGTGATTTCAATGCAATATAAGTTTACGTGTTGATAAGTGAGTAAGTGCAGTTATTGTGTGGTGCGAGCTACTTATAAGTAGTATATGACGTGAGTGTCAACATAATGTCTGGCAGTAGAAGATGGAGGAAGATCAGCAAAGGAAGAGTTAGAAAACAAATGGAATTTGTATGAAACGCATGAATAGTGAACTGTTGTCAGACAATGGATTGATGATGGATTAATGATGGATTGCAGATTTGCAAATTAACGATTTACGATATGGTTTTCCGATTTTACTGAGTAACGCTGTATTTTTGGTTAAATACAATCCGGTTGCCCTCACCTGTGTTCTCCTTCACTGCAATAGTGCCCATCATTAACTTCACCACTAAAGATTGAATTCTCAGGCATTAGGTCTTGCATGTGAATGCTGAATCTCTGGATCATTGAGCCAGTTGTACTCAGTGGTTCATTTTCACCTGAGGACTAGTTAAGTGAAGAAATTATTGGAGTTCTAATCAGAAAATATGATCTATGCAGTTTAACCGCGTTGAATGTGCGCAAGGTATCACAGAAGACAATATAAGATAGTAGTCACCCAACCTAGTGGACTGAGTAAAGTGAGACTGGACACTTAGTGTGATATTATGAAACTAGTCGAGTTGAACGAAAGTTTTCACCATTTCGTCTGACAAATGAAGGCGGTTTGCTAACCGGCGACTTTTTTATCGGTTTCACTGTGGTATACCCTTTTTTTGTGGTGGCCAAATATCTGCGTGTTCTAAAGCTCGGTAATTAGCTCGTCTAGACAATCGTTACAAAGTAGCGTCTGACGGTTATAAATCAGAAGATGAATTCGAAGTAATGAATAAGTTTATTTTTGGACACATCACAAAGCGAAGTTGAAAAGCAGCGAACAAAGCGTACGAAACGGCGTGAATTGAAGAAGGCTAATGAGCCAACTCCGAGGATTACAATGTGAAGGAAGCGAATGAATAGGTGAAGCGCGTAGGAGAAGGCTAAGAGCTAACTCAAAGAGATAGAACATGACTAAGAATATATTGTCAGACAAATATAACACAAACATGCAACAAGTGAAATAGGCACACATGAATAAAAGTGACGAATGATTGACAAGGTCAAATGACAAATGGGACACATCATGTGAGCTCATCATACAAACCAGACAATAATAAGAACGAATGGTACATAGAAATTGTTGCGATACAAATGGCTTGGTTAAATAAATTAATCGAAAGGACTTAAGCAAGTTAGATGTTAGCGAACTGGAATATATGTGGAGGCACTACACCCCATAGTTTGTGAATATTTATAGCTACTGTTTACAGCTAATAACAAGCGTTCAAATGGAAAGAATTCATCTGAGCCGACAAATCATATCGCTCTTACTTCATTGAAATTTATTAACCGACCAAGAAATAAACGAAATAAATTGATGTACTACTAATGACAGAAGATTTCTCAAAAAAATGTCTTGGTTCGATCGATTTTAAGTTACCAATAGAAACCTGGAAGCACTAGATGGCCAATTCTTGTTAGTATGAGACTCATCAACAGTAATCATCCATGACACTACAGGTGAGTGTTAAACCAAGGACCGTCGACCTTGAACACAAATGTTTAACATTTAGATCACTGAACCGGCGAGCAACGATTTCAATATCTAACTTCCATCCCTAGACGATATTACACAACCATATGAGTTGTCTTCTGTGAGAAACTGCCTCATACTTTGTAGGGTGCGATGCATAGTTTAATTTGTAGTCTACGTGATAGACTGACTTTCGTAAGATAACACTTTGGTGATAAATAAATTGTCACAAAGTTAAATAATCGCTGAAATGACTAAAAGTTCCATGTCTTAAACTCCTGATTAGGATATGATGACATATTGTTGATAAACGTCATACCAGAGATGAAATAATTATTCACCCCTCATCTGTTTTCTGTGATGAGCTATCTAAGGTCAGTCTTTGATGTAAACTACAGATTCTAGATATTTAACAGATTTTCATTATGGAGTTTGATTGAAATCATAAATCGGTCAAGGTCAGATCATCACTAGAAATCTGGAAACACTGTAGTGTCGTTTTGTCCTAAAATGGGACTTATCAGTGGTGCGCACCCACGATGCCCACTTGCGGGAATCCGAACCAGGACCTTCAGTCTCGAGCACCGACGCCTAATCGCTAGGCCACTGATTTGGCACTGGACTATGTTAATGTCTAACCTTAATTAATCGAAGGCATTGCACGATCACAGCCATCGTCTTCGGTAGATAACTGCCTACATCTGACAGCGCTGAACTCCACTAGTAAAGGCTTCTTACAAGATTGTCAAATAATCCTATTACATTATATTTTGTAATCAGAGTAAACGTTTTTCCCTAAATATTTAACAGATATTTGCCCAACATATCATATACAATCAGTTGTACAACTGGAAAAACTTCCGATTCAAATTCATTTATTACAAAAATTCAATGTGAATTTGTTTAAACGAAATGGTACAATAGTAAGTTGAAATATTGAGAATTTATTCAGTTCCACTGTTAATTATTGATTAGTTGTAACCTTATAGACTGCTATCATTATACATTGATATCAATTCACGTTTTATTGATAATCAGAAAACATTTGTTAGTTTTATAGATCAGTAGAACTCACTTGATAAAAGGTCTTCATTTTGGATAGTTTTGCGTTTTTGCGCATGGGCTGATCAGTTGACCTTGAGATTGCATTTTCCGCCTGGAAAACCCTTGACTGTCATTGGCTGATGTGTTATTTCAGTACACTATGTTTGTGTCTCTCTCAAGGACGTTTCTATGATGTATAAATAAACTCAGTTTGTGTGCTTGTCAACCTCGATTTTCTGGGTGCTTTTAGAATACACTTACTACGTTTTGTCAAGACTTCTTCGTTCCTAGTTACCAGGGCTTCGGGACGCTTGGATTAGAGTAGCCTATCGTGTCAGTGGATCATTTGTCTTCGATCTCATTTCGCGACTAAGGCGAACTCGTACTAGTTTCAAGAATATCTATTGACGAGCATAACATATAGTCTTAGTACAAGAATCTTTGGGTGTGTTCATCCGCAAGAGACACGTCATGGTTTTGTATGTGCATCAAAGAATGTCTGAAATACAGTAACGATCTTGATCTTGACTAGGCGATCATTGATTTTTGTGTTTTTCCTATGAGTTTGGGGCTAGTTAGTATTGAGTCAAGGCACCAATGCATAGAGCAGTAATTTTCTGGTCCTTGTTGCGTTCTGGTTGCTCATAGTGTGGTGTGTGCTACTTATACGAACGATATAAGTAGTATAAGAAGGGACGTGAAAGAAGTCTCATGATCAGAAGAGGAAAACGGAAAGCAAATTGAGCAAAAGCAAGAGGTAAATGGAGTACCAACAGGAAGGAAAGGAAGCAACAACAGGAATGGAAGAAGGATGGAGCGTAGGAAGTCACGATTCAAAGATGGTGTGCAAATAGAGTATTCAATGTAATGTTTTCGTTTTTAATTAACTCAGAGTGTCAATTGCATTATACAATCCTCCTCGCTTACTTCAGTCTTCTCAATAGGTCTTCTGAATATATTGATCAGTATTAGGACGTAACGAGGTCTCGCAAGGAATGCAGTTACCTATACACACTAATATCATTACACAAGTGAAGGAAGGGGACACCTTCCTCAGTTTTTTATGAATAAGATGTTGATGATGTTGTCTAGAATGACAACTGAAGCCCCTGAAGTAAATCGCCTAGCACAAAGAATTCAGTAACATTGATCATTTCACTAAATTTTTCTGGACCAACTATTTATTTATCTCAGTATAGGGAATTTGAAAGGGTTTCAATTTTTTTCTCAGTTGAAAGCATGTGCTGATCTTATCTAGTGTATGGATGAATTTGAGGTATGAGGGAGTATGTCACTTCGCGACCGCCCACACCGTGGAGTGGTGTGCCTTGAGGACCCTGAAAAGTAATTCGGATTAACGTTGGTCTAAGTGACCTGGAAGCTTGACCTCACAGATCATGAGATAACTGATTGGGGCCGGTCATACATGGCGTTTCTATGGAAAGTTTCTGAAATGTTGGATCTGCGTTTCAAAAGGTTTTACCAGTAGAGACAGAAATTCATGGGCTAAGGTGAGGTGTGATATTTTTAAGGTGGACCTATTCTGACCCCTTCCTTCCACCGTGAGATGGCAGCATTACTACAGATACAGGTTGTTTGATGGAAACAACTTACTGCTGTCACACCCTTCTACAGTCAACAGCAAGACTTCGTACTCAGATCGTGAGTTCATGCTTTTAGTCTCATAGTTCTCCAATCGACCTGCCTAGCTTAGTCGAACATACAGGAACATATGTTCCAGCCAATATAGCTCGGTTGGGTCACCACGATAGGCTAGCCCGACCACTACCATGTCAAGATATCAGCTACGGTCGTAACCATTGGTTGAAGTTTTGGAATGAAGTGGCTTAAAATCGTTTGCAATGGCACAGATGCACCGATTCTTTGTTTTCGCTCAAATTCTAATCTCCTGAATTCCTCATCATCTTTATCTTTCTCTTTATAAACTTATTTTAATGAATTATGCTTCTTGGAATCATACCTTGCATCCCTAAACTCTTCAATTACTCCTAATACTTCTTTCTACTAACTCTACTAGAATGGTATTTGAACTGTTTGTAGTAGGTCGATTTACTGCGGGTTCTAAAGCTCGGTAATTAGCTCGTCCAGACAATTGTTACCAAATGGCGTCTGACGGTTTATAAATCAGATGGTGAACTTGTAGTGTTGAATACGTTTATTTGGGACACACCACAAAGCGAAGCGAAGCGGAGAAGCAGTGAATAAAATGAACGAAGAGACGTGAATCGGAGAAGGCTGTTGAGCCAACTTTAAGAGATAGAGTGTGACTAAGAATATATAGTCAGACAAATATAAAACAGACATGTGACAAGCGAAATAGGCATGCACACACATGAATAAAAGCGACGAATGATTGACAAGGTCAAATGACAAGTAGAACACGTCATGTGAGCTCATCATACAAACCAGACAATAATAAGAACGAATGGCACATATAAATTGTTGCTACGCAAATGGCTTGGTTAAATAAATTAATCGAAAGGGCTTAGCCAAATTAGATGTAAGCGAACTGGAATATATGTGGAAGCACTACATGTTCTTTAATAATGGGGATCATCAAACAATCAGTTAAACGATACACTCGAACATCAGTTTCGTGACTAAAATGTGAACACATGATTAGTCATATGGTTAAAAGTAGAGTTACTTACTTAATCACTTACTTACCCCTGTTACCCTCCAAAGAAGCATAGGCCGCTGACCAATATTCTTCAGACTACTCTGTCTGGAGTCCTCCTTACCAGTTCTGTTCAATTTTCGTTCATTCTTCTCATGTTTGTCTCCAATACTCGACCTTATGTGTTTTTCGGTGTTCTTCTTCTCCTTTGACCTTGACGGCTTCTTTTGTGACGCAGTTGAGTGCTTTTCTCAGTATGTGTCCTATTTACTTCCAGCGCTTCTTCCTGATTTCTTCCTCCGCTAGAATCAGCTTTGTTTTCTCACACATTAGGCTGTTACTGATAGTGTCAGGCCTATAAGTAGAATATTGATCGTCAATTCAATAGCAAGACTAATCATCTCATGATCTTTTAATAGATATTTCTGTTTTTAGACCACCAATGGATTATAGATTGACGTATATATATGCAACTTTACAACAAATGAGAAATGTTTGATTTTCTCTTTCTCATAAAAAAAATACGTAACTGTAGATCAGTGTAGTTTTATGGTATAATATACATATATATATTGTCAGCGTCAAAAACCAATCAATATTTAGAATTCATGTATTCAGAAGTGTAAAACTGAGAAAGAGAGTGAGGGACAGACAGAGTGAAATCTACTGTTTTAAATGAACAGGATCTGATTACTGACAAACAACATGATTTAGTTATATCTATCTAAACTTTTATTAAGAATTACGCTAGAATTCTAAAGTTGTCGAATTCAGTTAAACTCCACCTGGAGCGCTTCTGGGGTTACTGCCAAACCCAAGCCCAGATAAAGGTATGGGGTTAGCGACCCTGTCTTGTAGAGGTTCAAATCGCTATAAAAAAACGCTAACCATAAACAATAATTTACATGTCGACGGCTTATGCTTCATCAGAGGTGACGGGCGTAAGTAATTAAGTAGGTACGTTCAGTTCAGTTTTCTCCAATCAAGTTTAATGAATAAATCGGACCTAATTTAGCTATAGCAACAATTCTACAGGCATATAGAACTTCATGTTGATCGGTATCAATAATCTGACAATGACATTATTGTATTCACAGTTAGGTACATTGATCGGTAACATTGTGAATCATTTCATTAGAAGGTATTTAAAATTTAAGTTTGTTAAATTCAGTTAAACTCCACCTGGAGCGCTTCTGGGTTTACTGCTGGACCCAAGCCGGCCGGATAAGGAAAGCGGGTTAAGCATGGGGTTATCGATCCCGTCTTGTAGAGATCCAACTCGCTATAAAAACACTGACCATAAACAATAATTCGCATGTCGGCTGCCTATGCTCCATCAAAGGTAACGGGAGTAAGTAATTAAGTATGTAAGTAGGTTCAGTTAAGTTTTCTCCAATAAAATCAGACTTAATAAGGCCATTGTTGTAATTTCGCACCAAAATTGCACGAAATACCAACTCCTAATCTACAGTGTATCTGTAGCAGGGATCACTTGTTTAATGGAGATAAATAATGTAAAGATTATTATTTACTCACTTACCTACGCTTGTTATCCCTTGTGCAGCACAGGCCACCAATCAGCATTCTTCAACCTACTGTATGCTGAACCTTCCTTTTACAGTTCTATCCAAACACTACACTCATTCATTTCATATATGTCTCCAATTCTCCGGACATTGTGTCCCATAGTGTACTTCTTTTCCTTTGCTCTTGAAAGAGCCATTCCCGAGTTACTGGTGGTTCCAATGTGGTGTGAGCTACTTATAAGTAGTATGTGACGTGAGCATCAACGTAATGTCTGGTAGCAGAAGATGGGGGAACATCAAGAAAGGAAGAAGAGTGGGAACACAATGGAATTTGTATGAAACGCATGAATAGTGAGTGACAATGGATTGATGTTTTGCAACAGGAACAGTCCAGTTCGATATGATGATGAACTGATATTTTGCAAATGAACGATTTACGATATGGTTTTCGGATTTTACTGAGTAACTCTGTAATTTTCGTTAAGTACAATTCGGTTGCCGCACCTGTGTTCTCGTTCACTACACCAAGACTGGATAAAGAAGGAGGGTTGGGTGGAAAAGGTTAGCGACCACACATCTTTTAAAGAAAGAAAACTTCCTTGAAAATGAACACTGACAACAAGAACAAATATTCAATATCATACTGTGTAATTCATTTAGTCAATACATATTTTAAGCAAAGCTAATAGTTGGGTAAATATTCTATTTAAAAGTTATTAATATAATTAAAAGCATCAATCATCATTTTTCATATTAACTTGACATGAAAAAAAAACAAAATATATATAAGTCATCTTTGGTGGTAGTTTTGAAATTTCCATTCTAATTTAATTTATAACGATTCGAATTATTGCGTTGTTTATATATTTCGACCAGATTCGGATCAATCTTAGCTGACATGCCTGCATTATGTACTCATCTTCTCGATAAAATCATTATGACACAAATTTGAAACGATGTGTAATGGGTTCGAGTTCGAAACAAGGCTAAATGTGGAGTCTAAATTCCAGTAGTACATAAATACCAACTGTTTTGCATGAATGTATGTTTCATACTTTTTACCCGACCGAAGCTGCTACCTTGACGTGGTGGTCGGGCCTGACTATCGTGATGACCCAGCCGAGCTATATTGGCTGGAACATATGTTCCTGAAGGTTCTACCGTGCCATACAGGTCGATTGGAGAACGATGAGACTAAATGCAGATACTCAAGATCTGGTGGTGAAGTCGGACTGCTGACTGTGATGGAGGGGTGTGATAGCAGTAAGGTGTTTCCCTCGGACAACCAGCATCTACAGCGATGCTGCCTTCTCACAAGGAAGGGTTAGAAAAGGTTGACCCTAAAAATGTCACACCTCACTTACCTCACGGATTTCCGTCTCCGTCGGTAAGGGTGCCCACTAAGGGCTTTCAAGAGCGGAGCTAATACTCAAAAGACCCTTCATAATAAGGCCGTGCGTGACCGGCCTCAAGCAGTTGTCCCTTGGGCTCTGCGGTCACGCACCCAGGTCTCTAAGACCAACACTAATCTATCTTCCTTTTCAGGTTCCTCAAGAAACAACCTTCCAGGGTGTGGGCAGCTGGGAAGTGACAACCGCCCTCATACCCGTAACAGCACACGAGAACTAATTGGTCAAAATCAAATCCTTCCTACACCTCCACTATCTTTATCACTATGGGATTTGATTTGACATTTGCGTCTCTGTGCTGATGTGGTATGGCAACATGAACTTATGTACATACGTACGTAGTTCTACGTTGCAACTGACTGATTGACTCATACTTTTTGGGCATGCGTTACTAAAGTAGTTTTTTTAAAACCTCGGAGAAAAAAATGGATACTTTTCATAGGAATTTAAATGCTCGTTGAACCAGTTTTTACAAGATACTTCGACTAGTTTACCTATCCATTTCTTCAGCATATATATTTTATTCCCCTGAATGCCCTGGCACAGCCAAGAGTTCGGAGAGTACACTTCCTCCTCTACAGATGCCTTCATATGACCACCTATGTGTAGTCAATGATGCAGAAGTTCAACGAACTACCTTCTCACATCAAGGGTGTTGTTTTTTCAAAGTAAAGTAGATGAAAGGTGAATAACCGATATAGATTAAACCGAGTTAGTCAGTATGAAGAGTCCAAGTTGATTTCGAACTAGTGGAGCACACTGGCTTCACGATCCTTATAGAACGAATAGTTTACAAAGTTCTTGTTGGTCATCGTCAACAATCAAACTGAACCTGGTGACTGACGTTAGTCGATTGCCTTGTGTATTAAACTACTGTATCAAACTCTGAGAGAGTAGCTGTTAGGATATTCATCCAACATCCTAAGAAAATTATTGTAAGTCTAATCCTATTGGTCAATTCCTATTGATCGTCCTAAATATCAATGTCATATACTTCAAATGTTCTTTGCTATTCGACCCAACGTTTTACGACCAGGATCCGGATCCCTTGTCCGGGATCCTGATTCTCTTCTGCACTCGGACCTCGTACCTTCTAGATGTTTGTAGAATACATGTTCTACTTCATATCAAGTCTTCTTCTTTTACTCAGTGGGGGTTCGGGAGTCTCGGATTAGAGTAGTCTGTCGTGCCGCTGGGTCATAGATCCTCTCTCTCGTTTTCCGACCAAGATGAACTCGTACTAGTTCAAGCATATCAAATGATGTGTTTACGTGTATTCATAATAGTAGCGCACTTAGAAAGCCACCTGTTTCGATTTACACATCTGGGTCATCTTTCATCCCACTCCAAAAACTCAATAATTCACATGACTCACAAATATTTACGTATCCCTTTCTGTCAATATATTTATATTTTTAAATAAAATCTCTTAAAAAATTCTCCATTTTTGTTTTAATTTTCCAAAAATATTCATTCAAGGTTCAACATGGTATACTATATCAACAAAAAGCATTTTTACAAATTTTCAATCATACTGCATATCATTTAATTAAAAATTTGTCGAAAGAATTATATCATGCTCGGAATTTAGCAAAATCCGCTACAGAACATATATGGACTATGTATAAACAGTTGAAATATTTAAATGAAAACTTCAAATCATTGAAAACACTTCAAACTACTAGTAATAATGATTATCAATGTTCTACACTCATCTATAATTTGTTTCAATCAGTTGGTAAAGATATTTTATCTAAACATATACTATCAATAATTCTTGACACTGATGAAGATGATGTAGGCGTGGATGAAGAAAGCAAGGAAGGAGAGAATGGAACAATTCGATATCTTAGACAAAATGAAACATTGAATCAAATTGAATTATTATTGATTAATAGTTTTTTCGAAACAAAAGTTATTGTATCACCAAGTTCTTCATTGTTACGTAAAATTTTAACTATGGTAAGTTGTTGATCAATGAAGATGATCTGTTCTGTGTTTTAATAGATAATTTTTAATATATATAAAGTTGTGAAGATTGTGGAGTATCGTTGAAATTATGTGTTGATTGATCATTGTTAGGCGAGCATTAGAAATCTGGAAGTAATGGGCGAAGGTTTTTCTCCTAGTGTGGTGTGAGCTACTTATAAGTAGTATATGACGCGAGTGTAAACGTAATGTCTGGCAGCAGAAGATGGAGGAAGATCAAGAAAGGAGGAGAGTGGGAACACAATGGAATTTGTATGAAACGCATGAATAGTGAGTGACAATGGACTGATATTTTGCAAATGAACGATTTACGATATGGTTTTCCGATTTTACTGAGTAACTCCGTAATTTTCGTGGATTTACTACCTCCGTATGTATGTGTCTGTGAAACTCAATCATCTGAACAACTGTAAATTATCATATGCTCAATAATCACTAGTTCCTTGAAGAAATTTTGTCGGTGTGACCAGTGGAGTTCAACTGTGGTAGGTGCGATAAAGTTACTCACTGAAGACAATGGGTGAAGTTGAGCAATACCTTGGATTAATTGAGATTAGAAATACACATTATTGGATGACAGCTTAGCTGTCTAGAACTTATGACCATAGGTCCTGAGTTCTATTCCTGCGAGTGAGGGTTGTTGATGCGCTCTGCTGATGAGTTCCATACTGGTATGAAACGACCGTCCAGTGCTTTCAGGTTTCTGATGGTGGTCTAACAATGATCGATACATGATTTCAATGACATTAGTGTTATGTCATTGTAAATGTTCCTTCACATACTACTCAATCAAATGTAATTTGAACTTCCAAGATGTTATTTTTCACTTAAGATAATTACGATAAATAAACTTTCTAAAGCTCATGTTGAATTAAATTTGAGTTTAGAAATTTTACTGATAAAACGTTCGAATATTTTATCGTAAATGAAATCGATATTATTTAGAGTATGAAATAATAGATGAGTTACATAACAAATTCGATATTCTATAAGGTCCTGTTATAATTTCATTTATAATGATTAATAATAATTCTGTTAACCCACCTGTAAGATCCAAACTGAGATTTGGACTGAGGAATAACTGTCTAGGTAGTTTAGATACGCGCCACTGGCCAGTTTAAACCAAAACAAAGAGATTTGGATAAATGACGGTTCTACTATTCATCATAAATATAACTGTATATCATTACCTAAACAAATATTACCACTCAGTTATTCCACCGACAATTGTTCAATTAATCAAATCCACAACAGCAACAAATCACTGTTATTCCATCCCTCGTGGATAGATCAGATTCGTTCGAAAGATAATATTTGGCTGATTTATAACACAGAGTGTTTCCTATTCTGGAAGAATGCTTCAATTCACAATCAAAATGCACATATCCAGTCAATGCAAGCAACTGACACAATCAAAAGAGGAACAAATAAATATGGCTGTCGCTATGACGAAGTATCAGCTTAAACAACATAAATGCAATTCAGAAAGAAACGCAGAAACTCAGTAAAGGCAGGAGAAGTAGAAACTATAATAAAATGGCAAATATTATTATTGCAAAATGAAATGCAAAAGAAGACAACCAGTGTAGCATCAGCCTCAGCAGCAGTAGGTCTCAACATACATAAACGGAAAAGTAAGATTCTACGATACAATACAACATACGTCAACCAAATCGCTCTTGATGGGGATGTATTGGAGGATGTTAACACCTTTACATATCTGGGGAGCGTCATCGCCAACCACGGGGGATCCAATGCAGATGTGTAGGCGCGGATTGGCAAAGCAACGGCTGCATTTCTACAACTGAAAAAATATCTGGGACTCCAAACAACTTTCAACCAAAACCAAAATCAGGATTTTCAATACAAATGTCAAGACAGTTCTACTGTATGGAGCGGAAAACTTGGAGAACTACGAAAGCCATTATCCAGAAGATACAAGTGTTTATGAACAGATGTCTTCGCAAAATACTTCGGATTCGTTGGCCAAACACTATCAGCAACAACGTACTGTGGGAAAGAACAAACCAGATTCCAGTGGAGGAGGAAATAAGGAAGAAGCGATGGAAGTGGATAGGACACACTACGAAAAGCACCTAACTGCGTCACGAGACAAGCCCTCACATGGAACCCTCAATGTGAAAGGAAAAGAGGAAGGCCAAGGAACATGTTACGCCGAGAAATAGAGACAGAAACATGAGAAGACCGAACGAAGACCTGAAAGAACTGGAAACGAAAGCCCAAACCAGAGTTGGTCGGAGAAAACTGGTCGGTGGCCTATGTTCAATTGGAGGTAACAGGCGTAAGTAAGTAAGTAAGTAATGATCCAACAATCACCATAACTCGATCATGAAAATTAAGTAGTATATTTTAAGCATCAGTTTGTTTGTTTTCGTTTTCATTTAAAAACTTTCTCTCAATAATCATCTTTTCTTTAATCTTTGATTTCAGGCTATGAAATTTCGTTATCTTCTATCCAATAACCATAATCAAACTACACTCCTGTCTCATCACAAAAATATTTCATCAGCGATTAATAATGTACATTTAAAAACTACTCACCTTCCATTAACATTCACTAATCAGATGAATTGTAGTAAACTCATTACATATTATGAAGAACAAATTAATCAATGCAGTGAAACAGTTAGTTTAGCATTGACAAGTTTGAATTATATCAATTTAGAGCTACATAATGCAATAAAAAGTAATCAATTGACACGATTGATATTTCCAAAATCTTCTACACCTTATAATGAATTGTCTGCTTCAAGGTTAGATTTTTAATTTTTTTTTGATGATATTCGTAAGGTATTACACTGGGAAGTTAGTTTTCAAAGGGATGTGGTGGCTAATCCTATGTCCAACACTCTTCTCTTCTCTTTTATCCGGGCTTTGAGACTGGCAGTGACTATAGGCGGGGCTTCAGGCGGATTACCAGGACTTTCATGATCTAGTCAGTAGAGTGAGAACTACTGTGGAGAACTAGTGGAATGGAATGAAAGTAGCATTAACTCCAGCAAGTTATCAGGTTCTGCGCTACAAGTAGTGCCATCAGAAGGAATGGATCTTTGTTGACATTCTGGATCAGAATCAGGAAAAGAAGAATAGGAAGGCGGCAGTCTATATCAGCCGAAAAAGAACAAAGAAAATCAAGGCACAAACTGAATGCACAATGAAAGGAAGCATCATAGCGAAAACATATAGAAGATCTAGCATGTTAGCTTTTTAGATGCGACACAGCATACACCAACTAAATCATACATGACGGAGAAGCTTTGGAAGACTATAAAAACCTTTACATACATGGACAGCATCATTGATAAACAAGGTTGGTCTGATTGTTTCATGTGAAAACATGGGCAGTATTTCTATAATTACAAGACATCTTGCACTCAAAACAACTGCCGTCGAAAGTCAGAATTTTTAAATATAAATGTCAGGACAATTCTTCTGTATGGAGCGGAATCTCGGGGAAGTATGAAAGCCATGATCCAAAAGTTGTAGGTGTTTATAAATAATAGTCTACACAACACACACTGAACTCATTGATCAGATACCATCAGCAACAACCTACTGTATCAGAGAACATACAGTCTTCTATCTGAAGAGTAGATTAAAAAAAGCGATGGAGGTGGATAGGACACATATTAGGTAAATTATTAATCTGAGAAACAAAGAAAGCCCTAACTGGAAACCGTCAGAACTAAAGGGAAAGAGGTAGACCAAGGAACAGAATGGAAAGACCAGGACAGAGTAGATTTTGCAGTCTTTCTCTGTTACGCCTGCACATAACAAGGTCAACTTGATATACTTGAACTATTACGAGTTTACCTAGTCGGAAGACGAAAGCGAGGATCGAGGATCCGGTCACACGACATGCTACTCAAATCCGATTATCCCAACAGTCATATTTAGTAAAAATAAGAAGACGTGATCTGAAGTATTACCTGTATTCTACAAGCATCCAGAAAGTACGAGGTCCGAATCCAGAAGCGAATTAGGATCCCGGAATAGGGATCCGGGAGCGAGCCCTGGTCCTGGTCGTGGTCATAAAATGTTACAGACAATGCGTATTTATACATTTTGGTCGAATAGGAAACAGCATCAAAGTCTGTGACATTGACAGTTTAGGACGACAAATAGGAAGTAACATTTGAAATGACATTGTCAGTCCGGATGACCAATAAGAGACAACATTGAAGTATTTGAATTTGACAGTTAAAACGACCATAAATTTGACCAATAGAAATCGACCAATAGGATTTGACCAATAATCCTCTTAGAATATTGGTCCAATATCCTAACATCCTCATATCCGGGTGATTAGCTGAGAGAACGAAACGCGGTGGTTTAGCGATGAAATCATTTATCTTTCATTCTATGTTAGTTATCGTACTCTGAATGTCTTAGACATGGAATTCTTAACCGATTCCAAGTTTAAGAGTGTGGTTTAGTGAATCGTGAAATTCAAGAACCATCTAGGAATGATTCAAACGTTGAGAAAAAAATTTGGTCATTTCATATCGCCTATTTGGATATTCTTTTTGAAATATACTGAAGAGCGTCAGTCACTTAGTCAGTCAATCAGTCAAAATATTCTTGACATTTTTACTGGTTTCTACAGACTTTACAAAACAATTATCACAAACTACTAACAGCTGAAATCATTTACTGAATTTAGCTAAACAGCCAATAGTTACCTGTTTCACTATAGTATGCGGCTTCTTAGCAATGTATACTCCCAACTGCAGGATGTTTGTTCTTCTGTGTGTGCGATCAACCTCCAGAACACTCAGCAGGCATACAGTTGTGTACTTGTCTAAAATAAATCAATGCTGAGGAGTTCCATACAAGAACGAAATAAATTTGCAGTCCAGCTAAAATCAATTCTTAATTTTAACTACAGTCTGAGAGATAAAATTCGACTGACATTAATGAATTTGAGAAATATTTCAGTGCAAACGTCAAGACATATTTATTGGATGGAGCTGAAACTTGGAAAACCACAAAAGTCATCATGCAAAACATCCAAGTGTATATAAACAGTTGTCTGTAGAACACACTATGAATCCACTGACCAGATACCATCAACAATAACTTACTGTATCAAAGAACAAACCATCTTTCATCTGAAGACGGGATTAGGTAAAAAGCTATGGAAATGAATGGGACATATATTACGGAAATTGTCAAACTGTGTCATACAACAAGCCCTCACTGAGAATCCTGAACACTAGAGGAAAAGAGCAAGACCAAATAACACATAGCGCAAAGAATTTGAAACAGGTACTCAAAGAATCAAGGGCACTAAGGGATAATTGGAAAGGCTAGCCCAGGATAGAACTGGTTATGGAATCCGATTAGATAGTCTATACTCAACAAGGCAAAACAAAACACAAGTAATCAAATAACTATCTGAAAGTTAGATAATACCACTTAGACTTTATCTTAATATAAACTGACAAACATTTTAGCGAATAAGTCAAATATTATTCATGATTTCAAGATAAGACTACGATCGGTGAATAGCTTCGTTAGGAAATTCTCGGAGTTCTAGTGAGAAAACGTGATCAGTGGAATTCAACCCTGTCAAGTGTAGACAGTAACTACTGAAGACAAATGGCTGAGTTTGTGCAAAATCATTCAATTGATCGGAGTTAGACATTAAAACCGTTGGATGGTGGCCGGTTAAGTGGTCCAGAGGTTAAGCATTCATGAACAAGACCAAAGTCCCTGTGTTTTTGAATCCTGTTAGTAGCAGGAGTTGAGGGTGTGCACTGCCACTGATGAGTCTCATACCAGGACGAAACGGCCATCTTACAGTGTTTTCAGATTTCTAATAGTAGTCTAACAGAGATTCCGTCATGGTTTCAAAATTATATTTCCACATTTTTTCTATAAAAGTTATACATGTCACAACAAACTGAAATATTTGTTTTGGGGCACAGCTTTGGAGGTTTGCGTTTTTACACATTTGAAATCAATCAGTCAATCATTGTTAGACCACCATTAGAAACATGGAAGCACAAAATTCCTAGATCAATCAGAGTTAGACATTAACACCGTTGAATGCCACCGGCCCAGTGGTCCGATGGTAAGGCGTTCGCCTACAATGCCAAAGGTCCCGGCTTCGAATCCTGCAAGGTGCGGGAGTCGTGGATACGCACTGCTGATGAGTCCCGTACCAGGATGAAACGGCCGTCCAGTGCCTCCAGGTTTCGAATGCGGGTGGTCTAACAATGACTGGTTGATGATTTCAAATGTGAAATATTTGTATTTTAAATAAACGTTAATAATAATAATAATTATTATTATTTTTATGTTTTTTGTCTACTCCCCATGCGTTACAGTATGGTTAGTTTAAGTATCAGAATGTCAAAAATGAATATGCCTACACTGCATCAATCGTCCACATCATTGCATATGGATAGTTATTTAAAAAGTAAGTTGTTGTTCATGTTTTTGTAGCGCGTTTTTTTCTCCAATCTACCTACTATCAATAATAATAGTAGTCTATTTAGTTTTGTCAAAAATTTTCTGTTTTGATAGTTTCTCATATCATGTGTAAGTAGAATAATATAAAATCATTGAAGATAATGGGAGATAGTTGAGTAAAATTAACATTCAGATGAAATGCTCAAGATCTGACATCCGTTGGTAAGGAAAGTTGAATATACTTTGCAATAAATGGTCCATTCACTTTCCAAATATATCATACTTATGTGAACCTCGTTAGTGCGATGGTGGAAATAAGGGAGATAAATACGGTTTATTTTACTTACTTACCTACTTACTTTATGCACTTATGCACTTACTTACTTACTTACTTACTTACTTACTTACTTACTTACTTACTTAAGCCTGTTCCCCCCCATGGAGCTTAGGTCGCTGACTAACATTCTCCCACCTACTCTGTTTTGCACTTTCCTTTCTAGTTCTGTCCACTTGGTATTCATTCTTTTGACATTTGGTTCCAATTTCCAAGACAATGTGTTCTGTGGTCTTTTTCTCTTACGTTAGCCCTGAGGATTCTAAATCAAAGCTTGGTTTATTTTGAATGAATTTATTTGCATACATTCGCATAAGCAGACACAGAATAAAGAGTATCGTAAAAGCGAAGCAAAGTGAAGCAGCGAAGGTAAGCAGGCCAATTCGATGTGATGAGGTATGACTAAGAATTTATAGTCCGATAAAATTAAGCGAAGCAAGAAATGCACACACTTATAAGCGAGTAATTGACATGGTTGAAAGACGTGAGAATAATAACCCGATAAGAATGAAGAATTAGTTTTTTTAAAGACATGCGACAGGTAGCCATTTGGGCTTAACAAATTATTTGAAATTACAAACGACCAAACAATAATTGCATTACAGTTTTGTGAAGATTGTTAAGTAACACACTTGAAATCATCCTTACCTTGCACTTACACCAGCATTGCTTAGTCCATTGTTCCACAATGTACGAACAGTGCTTCGAAGGCACCTATGATCGAATTCTACTAGCCGAAGATTAAAGTAACATTCGAAGGGACTAGACAAACGTAAGATCGATTGATATTATTCATTATGGGTTTGTGAAGATTGTTAAGCTACACGTTTGAAATCATGAATCGATCGAAGTTAGATCACCATTAGAAACTCGGAAGCATTGAAAGACGGCCGTTTCGTCCTGGTATGAGACTCACCATCAGTGCACATCCACGACTCCTGCAACTCGTAGGATTCGAACCTCGAAACCCTCAATCTTCCGCGTGAACGCCTAACCTCTGGAACATTGAGTCGGTATCTAACGCTGTTCATGTCTACCTGCAATCAATTCACAGTCTTGCACAACCTCATACACTGTCTTCGGTAGTGATTGTGTACACACGAATAGGGTTGAACTTCATTGGTCACGACTTCCCACTAAAACTCGGAGAAGATTCCTCACCGAGCTATTCATCAGTGAGCACAAGTAATTGCATTCATTACCAGTCCAACAATGTACAAACCCAGCTCTTGCAGTTTGACCTACAGAACTTTTTCTTCCAAAATTAAGTTATGTACAGAGAAGAAAGAATACTTATAAGATAAATGTGATCTGAAAGTTGTCGAATTAATAATCTCAATTATTGTCCTGGCCTCTGAAAACGATTGTTTCCTTATAAAAAGTGAATTAATCAAATCTCCTGAGATGATTCCTAAATTTCAATTCAATAGAAAATTGATTTCTCAGTGTGTTTGCGTTCCATTTTTTCTACGTTAACTGTGAAATTCCACCAGAACACGGCAAACCAGACAATGATGTTTTAGGGGATTAATCAAATCAATAATGATTCAATGACAATATCCATAACTATGAGGTTAATGGATACAATTTTAAGTTAAATGCACAGAAAAGTGTTTGTATTAGTTTCCTGAAGAACTCTCGCTACCCTCAGGATTGGAACCTAGGACCCTTCGTCTTGGCTGAGATCGTTTAGCCTCAGGACAACTAGGCCAGCGTTTAAAGGTGTTACTGTCTAATTTTGGTCAATCTAAGGATTTTGGCCAACCTCATTCATTGTCTTTGTGCTATGCTCGTCAGCTGATATGCTTGAATACTACTACGAGTTCACCTTAGTCGATAGACGAGAACGAGACAATGAGCTAGTGACACGGTAAGCTAGCTTGATCCTAAACGGCCGGAGAGAAGTCTTGATATAGCGTAGAAAGTGGATTCTACAAACACCTAGAAAATACAGTGATCTCAAACACACAAATCGCGTTTATTTATACATCACAGAAGGATCCTTGGGAGAATCACAACAATAGCATACTAAAATAACACATCAAGCAATCAGAGCCAGGGATTTTCCTGGTGGGAAATGTGGTCTCAAGGTCAACTGATCAGTCCATGAATAAAATCCCAAAATTAAGGCCTTTATCAAGTGAGTTCTGGGTATCTAACGTCCCTGACACTTTAGTAGTTACTGCCTACACCCGACAGGTTTGAACTCCACTGATCCCGTCTTCTCACTAGAAATTCGAAAATTCTCTCACAGAGCTAGTCACTACTGGGCCCTTTAATAGGCTTCTCGATCTTCATCTTATCTCTCAGTGTCTCTCTTTGTCTCTCTCTCTCTCTCTCTCTGTGTGTCTTTAGCTTCTTCAAAGTTTATGTTACATTAAAAAAAAACAAAATTTACTCATAATTATTTCAACATTTATTTCATTAAATTTCTAGTCGACATTAAAAATTTTTGTTTAAATTTAGATTGAATGTACAATTGAATTGTTACCAGAATCGCTTTTAATTGTTTGTTTTTTTTGTGAGGAAAATTCAAAATTCATTCAAGTTGAAAGTAAAAAAATAAAACAATTCTGTTTTAATTTATAATTTATTTCTATTGAAAATTGAAATTTTCGAAAAAAAACAGTTAAATGAACAGAAAAAACAACCATTTGTTCTTTATTTATAATTTACTAATCAACAGAGTATATATAAAAATTAAGTTTGTTTTGGTTAAAATAACTACTAACATTTTCTAATGATTAAATAAAATAATTGAAATCATGAATCGATCAATGTTGTTCGATTACAATTAGAAACTTGGAAACACTGATAGATGGCTGATTCATTATTGGCAAATGTGTAACTTAATAATCTTTACAACATCGTAATGCAATTACCTGTGCTCACTAGTGACTTGCTCCATGAGGTGTCTTCTCCGATTTCTAGTGGGAAGTCGTGACCAGTGAAGTTCAGCCCTATTCGGGTGTAGACAGTAACTACCAAAGACAGTGTATGTACTTATGCAAGACCGTGGATTGATCGAAGTTAGACGTGAACGTAGTTACATACCGGCTAATTGGGCGTTCGCACGGAAGATTGAGGGTCCTGCGAGTTGCAGGAGTTGTGGATGCGCACTGCGACTGATGAGTCTCATGTCAGGACGAAACGGCTGTATTTCAGTGCTTCCAGGTTTCTAATGGTGGTCTAAAGTTGATCGATTCATGATTTCAAGTGTGTAACTTAACAAACTTCACGAACCCATAATGAATAATAGCGATCGATCTTACGTTTGTCAAATCCCTTTTAATGTGAATTTAATAGTAAGCTACTAGAATTCGATCATAGGTGCCTTCGAAGCATTGCACATACATTGTGAAACAATGAACCAAGCAATTCTGGTGTACGTAGAAGGTAAGGTTGGCAAATCAATCGACGAATAGGTGAAACTTCATTAGATGAGGTGGTTGGGACATGTGTTACGTATGCGCAACCTCCAACTGCCTCTACGAGCGACGTTTTGTGGTGTGCGAGTAGGTTGGAAGAAATTCAGGGTCGGCCAGACCAGAACCTGGCACAAATCCATGAAGTCATTGACATGTGGACTGAGTCATGTTGGTAGATGTGGGCTACCTGGTAGGGGTCCGCGAGACGACAGTCACCGATGGTTAGAGACCTTGAATGACATAGCTCCAAATCGTTTGCAGTGACTCAGATACGTCCATCTTTCCCCATCTTTCTCTTCTCCTTGAATAACATTTTCAAACCCTAATCTTTCCAATTACTGCTCATACGTCTACTACGTCTACCACTTCGGGATTTGAACTGACGATTGCATCACTGTATGCTAATGTGGTGGAACGGCAACTTGAACTGATGTACGTACATACGAAGTTTTACATTGTTTCCGACTGACTGACTGACTGTTTTAATATATGCAGTCTTCGAATGAAAAATGAGTTAGACAATGATTGTGTAATGTTTCGATTTAGTATAATTGAAGAAGTTATCAATCATAAAACCAACATAATTCAAACATTTAATATTATGAGCTGAGAGCTTGATGACTACTAGCATTGGAATTCTGAACAAACATTTTGTTTTATCACGAACTTATCAGTAGTTGAATTTTTTACATCTCACAGTTGAGGTTCATCACTCTGGGATTCGAACTGAATAGCGTTCGTATCAAAAACACACTCAACATACACAAATACCAAATGAGACTGATCCATTTCAATCCTGGTCATCAATAAAAAAAATTGAAACGACCATAAAAAAATGAATTAATCTTCATACTGTTGTACGAACCAGTGACTACATCTGGACTCAGTAGGTCATGGAATAACAGCTACATTGAACTCACTTTGAATTTCGATCAAGAAATCATACAGCGATCAATGTTAGACTACCATTAGAAACCTGGAAGCACCGGACAGCCATTTCGTCCTGGTATGGGGCTCATCAGCGGCAGTGCGCATCCACGACTCCTGCACCTTGCAGGACTCGAACCTGGGGCCTTCGGTATTTTGCGTGAACGCTTAACTATCGGACCACTGGACCTCACCCATTTGTCTTTGGTAGTGACTGCCTACACCCGACAGAGTTGAACTCCATTAGTCACGTCTTTTCACTAGAACTACGAGAATTTCATCACGAAGCTCGTCACTAGTGAGCGCTGTTACGATATT